CTGAGCTGAGACGAAGATACAAAAAGACTCTTTATGTAAATAATCCGTCTATTCTTCGTTCTTTGGGTTCCCGTTACAAAACCGAAAAATATTAAATAATCAATTTTTTTGTTTTTAAAACTGGAAGTTTTTTTGTTTTATTTATTTTGTTTGTGCTGCAGAGTTATTATCATTTTGTATTTTTATTGTTTTTATTTCATTTTGAAGTTTTATTATTATAATAATAATCAGGAGTATGAAGTGAAGGAACGACTGAGCCACCGTGCTAACAAAACAAAAACTTTGATTTTCTCCGTTTTAAAACAGTTTTTCTGATTCGGTTTTGAAACCAAAGGATGAACAATTTAGGGATTATAAATATTAACAGTTTACTTAACGTCCATTATGATGCCTCGTGTATAACTCATAGTGGTGATAAACTTTATCGCGGTTTAACTCCAACACATTTCCTCTTCCTTTCAGTTTAAAAGCATATAATAAATTACTGTGTAGAATTCCCCGTAACGTCTGCTATCAGGGTGTTTATCAGTAGAATAATGTGTTGTAATGAACTTACAGTGCCTCATAATACTTTATGAAGTTCTTCAAGTAAAGCAAACCGCCAAAATAAACGTATTTCCTGCTGTTGTTTGATTTCCTGTCTTATTCCATAGCTGAAAGTCTTTTTTAAGGGTACTGATGTTAGAAATCCGTCACTGTGTAAATAGTTGTACTGTAAGTTGTACTGTCGATGTTCAATCACTGTTCATGTTTACATGTTATCTTATCGTACCTCAGGAGTTTTATTGATCCCTACATACTGTACTGTTATTGTTCTATTCATTGTGAATCCTGTACAATAAAATGTGTTTTTTTTTTATCCTGCTGATTTCCTTGAATATAAAAAAAACATTTAAAAACCCTCAGAAGATTAAATTCAGCTGTTTCTGTTGACCAGAGGTGGCAACAGGACATTGGTGCAAGTGTTTTGGCATTCAGTGTTGGGCTAGTTAGTCAATTGATTACTCATTAATCTTTTTAACTTATTACTCCCTGCCAACAGTAATTAGTTACACTACTAGTTATATTACTTTTCTGTTACTCCACACAAAAATGCTAATTGTGTCCATAATCCCCAAAATCCAGTTCTGTTTGTTAAAATCAACGTAATGTGAATGTTTTCATTTTCCAAACCAATTGCCCTTCCCACCTCTGATTTTAATTAAATGCAAGCATACACACATTTACTAGCAACTACACATTGTATTTAAACAGAAAACAAAGAAACTTGTCGTTTTTCCAAGTGTTTCTTTATTGGAGTGCAGTATTGGCCTCGGTAACGAAGGATACTTTGGTGTAACGTAGTCAGTCAGACGCACACGTTAGACACAATATGTGTTTATGTGAAAATCAGTGATTGATGTTGGTGTCATTAATTACAGTATTCCTACAATTAGTGAGTTCGAGAGATCAAACGGGCCATTTTAGACTGTAAATGCAGATAGGTTCATTTAACTCAAAAAATTCATTCATTTAAAATTTTGAGTAAAACTAACTTAATTCTGTTAAGTTAAAGATTCTTCATTAATCAGCTTTTACCAGAAATTTCAAGTGACACTAACTTAAGTTACAGAAACATTCCTGATTAAGCACTTTTTACCGGTCTTTTGTTTTTTCACAGTACAAATAAAAATAACAAAATGTGAATGTTTTAACTTACAAAATTGAGTTTTTGTTCCTTAAAATCTTTGATGTAAACTTTGAGTTAAATGGAAGAAAATATACATTTTACTCACATTTATTTCATAACTTAAGTTACTTTTCAGATTTATATTTTTAAGTATTTTTAGACTGTGGAACTACGTAAGTGAAATATTTGAGTACTTTAAGCAATTTTAAGCATTTTAAATGCTGCAAAAGACAACTTTTTAACATTTTCTTAAAGAATTTATTACTTTATTATTTGTGATGATCAGACAGGGTTGTAGGCATTGAGCGAGACTACAGGCAGATTAATGCGGCTCCATCAGAGCCAAAGTACTTCTAAATTAATTTATCAGCAATCGGTAAAAACAAATAATGATAATTGAAAAAAATGCTGAATATCAGATCTGATAATCAGCCCATCCCTTTAACAGTGTAAGGATTAAGATGATACATTGAAACTACGGCAGTGGAAAATAAGAGTGAACTCAATCATGCAGAGCGACATTCTTCAACAGATGTTTGGCTACTTGAGATAAAACGGTGGCAACTAACACTGTAGGAAGTTGTAAAAGAGATGAAAATACTAATAATGTGTACGACAGTGGAGATACTTGAAGGCATAAGAGGGGGAGTAACATACTTTTAGTTATTGAGCTACTGTGGCTGATTCGACCTCCGCCCAGGGTAAAGCTTCTGAAAGGGGCGGGGAATAGAAAGGGTACATTTTTGATTAAGCGTTGCAAAACATAAGCAACTTTAAGTCCTTTCCAGCTACAATTGTTTGTTTGGTTGAAAGTCAAATTTAGCAACTTGTAAAACAAGTTAATGGCCTTCGTCATGCAGCCAACACAATAAATGCCCACAGGCACCGATCATGTGAGTGCTCCACAAGAAGGCCAAACAAAACAATAAATAAATAAATAAATACCAAGTTATGTATTCATGTGTAGGTATTTTTTCGTTGATGTGCAGCCCGTTATAAGTTATATAGAGCAGTGTCACATTTCGTTACAGTTTGGGTCCACGTCAAGGTAATTACGGTAATTGAATTTGTGACAATCATCAACCTGGTAGATGATAGAAAAAGTTTAATTTCGGTAAATTAAATTATGCTAAATGTGCTCAAATGTAAAAACAATGAAGCATTATGTTTAGCTGCAGCTGACCACACTGGGATTCAATCAACATCTGAAGTGCTGTGCAGGTTTATTTTATGTGAACACAGCAAGTGATATGATCAATTATTGATGAATTCCTTTATATTTAGTTTTGCCACATTTCATCTACACATTTTTCACCCCAACGTTCAAAAACAAAACTCCGCCAAGCGGGTCTAAGAGTCGCTTTCCCATTGAAGCTTCCTTTGTTACTGACCAACATTCCTCATGTTCAACAGTTACAGAGCGCACACACACACACACACACACTATGATTTCACCATCAGACAGAACAAGATAAAATGTTAAGTGCTTCAGGACATTAAACATTTTAAGATTTTGGGCACACAAGTTTTTATGATTCTTCATTTACAGCAATTCTTAGGCATCTCTTGTTTCTTGCGTTCTTTTTCTTTTTAAATACTTGGCATCGAAACAACTGGATGGCGGTTGCGTAATCTCACATTATGGTGCCCCGTGTGAGTCCGGAAGGAAGTGTTTGTCCAGGCCAGGAGTCTCGTTCTGTTTCAGTCCGAGGAGAATCCTTTTCTCACTGTTCAACAGATGAAGACGAGTCCGACACAAATGCAGATGAGACACAATGAGTCCTAAAAACAAAGAGTTCACGCCTCATGTCTTTTGTTTTTTATTATCATGTATGCATTATGGTCAAGAAGGAACTGCATAGGCCACCGTAAAGGGCTTGATACTGTCCTGTGGTAGCTTTACCTTGGCTGTACAGTACAGATGTGGGTGAAACACTAGTCCTTAAAGCAACATTATGTAACTTTTCCACCTTAAAATAACAGCTTCCCTATCATTCTGATGGTAGAGTGAATTGTAACAGGGTGAATTGTGCCTCTGTGGAGAAAATGTTTTCTGGTTTTCCCTCTGATCGCTTCAACTCTATGTGATTTACAGAGTTAAGTAACTGCTGCCAAATGTAGCTGCTGTGAGCTAGTTAGCTTAGCCATACTGTCCTGGACAGTCTGGACTGGGTGCTCAGAGCACGGGGGGAGTGTTGGTGTTTATGCTGGTAGCACTGGAGCTCCGGACCGCCGGGAGGAGGACGTTTTTAGGCTTCGGATGTCAGATCGTGCAGCGGGCAATGTAACCGGGCTCAGCAGCTTCTATGGAGCTAACGGCAGAGGAAAAGACGACGACGGACGGCGCTAAGAAGAGAAAAGCTGCCAGACAAGTATAAATATGAGACTGGCTTTTAGTTCGTTGGTCTCAGAGGCTGTGAACCCGGTTCTGTTGCCCACACGCACAGCCCCAGCGCTCATTCTCCTTTGCTAGCTCCGATGCTAATAGTGTAAACAAACCTCCCTCCTTCCTTCGAGCTCCCAGTCCGGGTTCAGTCAGCTAAGCTATGTTGCTAATGGCAGCTAGTACTGTGTTACAAGAGCAAAAGGTCCGCATTGCAGCAATCGCATGATACTTTCCTCCTGTGCGCGACTAACTAAGACTCTTCTCAGCAACTAGTTGCAACTTGGGGGCAACAAAGACCAAATCTTACATAGTGCTGCTTTAAATGTTTGTCTCTAATGGCTTGTGGATTTCAGAATGACACCTTCATCCGGTGAATCTTCACATTTCAACATCAATAATGAAGAGATTTCTGAACTTTCAATCTGCTTCAAATGAGGGTTGATATGCAGGAGGCAACACGGTGTCGTTATAGAATGAGTGTGTTTCTAGCATCAGTTCAGGGATCCAGAGGTTTTCATCGCCTCCCGGTGGTGCCGGCACCACTACTACGGTTGAGGTTGCGGCTCAGCTGAGGGAAGTGGACTGTGGGTGTTCTGGATGTAGGACCGTAGAGGCCGAGGTTCCTGGCTGCTGCCGATTTCCTGGGCTGCTTCACGCTAGGGAACGGGGAGAAGACCTGGTGTTTAGGAGTGGAGGCGCCGGTGGACGGGAATGCCGGGGTTGACGGGGAGGAGGACATACGGGATGTGGACGATGAGGAGATGGAGGAGAGTGAGGGAGTGGAGGGAGAGGACGTTTTGTAAAATGTGGAGGTTGCGGGAGGAGGGAGAGAGGAGAGGCTGTTAGCTGAAGGAGATGATGGGAGGCGGGATGTGGAGCTCGGTGGCGTAGGTGAAGCGGATGTAGGGACCGGAGAGGGGGAAGGTGAGGAGGAAGGGATGTGGAAGGAGTGGTGAGGTGGAGGTAAAGCGATGGAGGTAAAGGGTCCCTCTGAGCCGGTGGAGTCTGACTCTTTATGCCTGTTTGAGGACGGCGGAGGAGGGAGAAGAGGGACTTGGGGTGCAGCTTTAGACTCTGGCAGCGTGGGTTGCGTATCTGGGTTTGCGGAGGTCAGATGGGATCCGTCCTCTAGATCCAGGGAGTCCAGCTGCACCACCACCTCTGCAACTTCTGCTTCTTTGGTCACATCTGCAACTTGCGGAGCCTCTTCACACACTGACCTGGCACCGGAGGGATCAGGAGATGGAGACACAGAGGAGGCACTCCCCTCTTTCTGCTCCTCATCATTTTCCTCAATCTTATTCTCCTCTTCACCCTCCAGTCTCCCCAACTCTCTCTCTTCCTCCTCGTCTTCCCTTTCCTCTGAATCTCCGAAGCCCAGCTGTGCTCGGGCCCTGGCTATATTCCTCCGATGCACCCGGACGTGAGCACGCCAAGGGGATGCTGCGCCTCCTCCGGAGCTCCCCGGAGATCCGGTACTGTTGGAGCCACAGCGCTGCATGGCTGGAGAACCGTGACTCTGGGACAGAGAAGCGGGTCTGGACCCTGGTAGCGTGGATGTGCTTGTGGATGAGAGTCCGGGGCCTGCTCCGCGTGGTTTCCGACCCAGAAGGAGGTGGTTGATGACGGAGCTGGAGGGGTTGAGCTGGGAGGCCAGGACACGGGTGGCGGGGCACTTGTCTGGAGGGAAAAAACAGACACACTTGAAAGAGGCACACAACAGATGCTAGGCGGCGGTTACAGAGAGATATCTGAGATTGTTGTGAGTGGGTGAAGCTGAATTTTAAACATTTAGAACTTCTTAAAAGTGAGAGCTCCAGTAGGGTTTATTTGGTTCTGAGGTTATTGTGACACAGACATTTATTTTTAACCATGTTGCACCTTGAAAAATATAGTTTTGTTGTGCAGAATGAAGAATTAGACATAACTGCTTAAAGGATCGGATCTCCCATTAAAACTGAACAAGGTGTGCAAATGAGAATTACTTTTCTTTATCTTTGATTATCTTTTATGATATATTAATTTTAATGTCAAACATATTGACAAATGTCCATCTAAAATTACCAAAATAATACAATCTGTCTAACATTAAAAACATGATGTGAAATCAAATTTCAGAAAAATAACTGCTAGTTTACTAAATAAATGAGATTACAGTCGCCACAGGAATGAAACATGTCTGTTGGATAATTCACATTTAGAAATACAACCAGCTGTTCAGAGCAGCTGTTGCCAAAAGCTTTGCACCTCCATCAGACACCAGAGGGCGTAGGATTGATCTCTCTGGCCTCTCAGAATGAGACAGCATTCTGGATTACTGGCCAAGTTCATATTAATTTCTTTGGTATTATATAATATGTGCAGTAATATACAGTATTTTGGCCTTTTTTCCAATGTTAGTAAACCATGTCAGTGTAAGCATGTCTTTATGAAAGCTGATTACTGCGCTGTACGATGACAGACGGTGAGTGTGTGTGCAGATGTTTGAATCTGAAAGGGGAAAAACATCTCACTGTAATACTGTTATACAAGCTTCACACATCATATGTTAGCATGAGACGGCAGGAGCAACATATCCAACGGGATCAGAGGTTGTTAACAGAGGTTAGTGAGTTCCCAAATCAGA